TCACTGTCGTCAGAACTTGATCCAAGTACATACAGCAGGACCTCACTAACCCACACACGGTGAAATTCACCCCTGTGCAGTGGGCCAACTCTAAGCCTTAAGGGGGATTTAAGTGATGCCCATGCCTCAGGCAGGCCCACTATACAGGGCTGAATTTCAGCCACCATTCACCATACCCTCTGCTCTTTTCAGCTGTGATTTAGTGGGAAAAAGACTGTAGTGGGGTCCCATCTTTATTCACCCTGTAGAATCATCTGGACCGTCAAAGTTTTGTATCTCTTGATCACAGCTTAGACTGGGTTTCACCCCTGTGCAAAGCACTAGTGCAGAGCACACGCCTTGCACGGACTGAGTGTCCATGGAATGACCAGGCATCTCATGGCAGAGATGAAGAGCGTTTTCCGAGTTAACCATTGTAATCCACGCACAGTTTAACCCAACAGCACTAACTTAAAGGAAACTGGTTTCCTTGTGGGCACTTGGTCTTGAGATACAGTATCATTTCCCAGCAAGAATATGTAAATTCTGGATTATATGGGGAGTCGGTGTTGGGAGTTTAAAGCACAGAGTTGGACACATCTCGCCATAAATGTACTCCTACTCTTTGCCAATCTCTGTTTCAACCGTCTGATAGAAGGTTCCCTTGTCTCCCAAAGACAATAAAGTCCCATTATAATTATACTCCTGTCACTACATTATGAATGCCCTAGTACTCCGTTCCTGAAAGTGCTGTCCATTTGAGTCTTTAGAATAAGAGTCCTTGGCATGCAAATAATAGGCTTGAGTGATAAGCGGCTGTCTGATCTTTAGCTTTGAATTCAGTGGAGAGGTGATGGGACAAATTGGTCAATGGCTATGATTAGAGCTGACAGCTCCTTTTCAAACTGCCAGACATTCCCCCTATTGTGGAAAGGCATAGCATGGCTCTCTGATGCATTTAGTCTCAGTGCAGCTGTCATTCAAAGCCCTCACCAGGTTTATTGCCCAGTATAGTATCTCCTATCCAACTCGAGCTCCTATGTTTCCTCTCAGAGCTGATATCGTGATCTTAGAGTCACATGGTGGCTCTTGATTCAGATAATCTCCTCTCTTTACAGCATATGTTACACATAACCATGTCACCCTCTAGTGGCTGGTCCCAGTGACTATAACAACCTGCTTGCAACTAATGGATTTTTCTTTAATTTGGTGCTAGAGGCCTGTTTCCCAAGGATGACTGGTGTGTGTAGTGTGATAGACCCAGGCCAGTTGGGTACAGCAGAGTAGAAGAAGGCAGATATACTGGCCACTGGATAAGCAGTTTTCTGTTCCCTGACTGACCAGAACAGGGGCTGCTCCAGGCTAGGGTGGACACATGACTTCAATTAGCCTGCAAAGAGTCAGTTGAAGCCGTTAGGCTAATGAGAACACCTGACTCCAATTAACCTGCACAGAGTCAGGTGAGGCTGTTAAGCTAATGTGAACACCTGACTCTAATTAAGGCCCCTCTGATACTATAAAAGGGCTCACTCCAGTCAGGCTGAGGAGAGCCAGGGGACAGGAAGCGTGGCTGAAGGGCTGGGTAGTGAAGAAGCCCTCAAGCCACTGGAAAGGGAGCCCTAAGGTAAGGGTGAAGAAGGTGTTAAGAGGGAGAAATGGGAGAGCTGTGGGGAACTGACCCAGGGAAATGTAACAACTCTGGCAGTGAAAGTTCAGCTGCCAACAGCTGCTGCCATTAGGGTCCCTAGGCCAGAACCTGGAGTAGAGGGCGAGTCCGGGTTCCTCCCAACCCGCCACTACAGAAACACCTCCTGGGAGGGAAAGACAGGCCCCTCTCAGGACAAGAGGCTAAACTGTTCTGGAACAAGCCCGCAGGGACAACAGAGACTGTGGGAGTTCTCTCACCAACCTTCTTGCTGGCTTATGATGAAAAGGGCTCAGTAGACTGTAACCCTGGCCCTAGAGAGAGAGGGGCTACGTGGAGGGTCGCAGTGAGCCTCTGAGACTAGCGTAAACCTCCTGGAAGTGCGGGATCCACGGAGACAAGGTCGGAGTTCTGCCACAGTAGCTACAAAATATTCTCAGAGTTCAGGCCTCCAGAGCAGAACTTTGCTCCTGCTTACAACATTCTAATTTTTTTACCCTTCTAAAGATGCCAAATCTACATAAGAATGGCCATACTGGGTCCATCTAGCCCAGTATCATGTCTTCTGACAGTAGCCACTGCCATGTGCTTCAGAAGGAATGAACAGAACAGGACAATTATCTAGTGACCCATCCTGTGTCATCCAGTCCCAGCTTCTGACAGTCAGAGGTTTAGGGACACCTACATCATGGAGTTGTCTCGCTGCCCATTGTGGGGCTAACAGCCATTCATGGACCTATCCTCCATGAACTTATCTAGTTCTTTTTTGAACTGTTATACTTTTGGCCTTCACAACATTCCCTGCCAATGAGTTCTACAGGTTGACTCTGTGTGGTGTGAACAAGTACTTTCTTTTGTTTGTTTTCAACCTACTGCCTATTAATTTAATTGGTGACCCCTAATTCTTATGTTATATGAAGGGGTAAAGAACACTTCCTCATTTACTTTCCCCTCCATCACTCATGATTTTCTAGACCTCTGTCACACCCTCCATCAGTTGCCTCTTTTCTAAACTGAACAGTCCCAGTCTTTTTAATGTCTCTTCATCTGGAAGCTGTCCCAGACCCCTCACCATTTTTGCTCAACTTCTCTGTACTTTTTCAAATTCTAAGATCTTTTTTTGAGATGGAGTGACCAGAACTGCCTACAGTATTCAAGGTTTGGGCATATTCTGGAATTACATAGCGGCATTATGATATTTACTATCTTATTATATATCCCTTTCCTAATGGCTCCTTACATTCTGTTAGATTTTTTGACTGCTGTTGCACACTGAGTGGATGATTTCAGAGAATTATCCACGAGTCCAAAATCTCTTTCTTGAGTAGTAACAGCTAATTTAGACTTTGTCATTTTGTATGTATAGTTGGGATTATTTGTTTTCCAACGTGCATTACTTTGTCCTTATCAACACTGAATTTCATTTCCCATTCTGAAAGTCCAAGTACATAGGGTCAGGTTTTCGAGAGCTCAGAACACGCTGCGACACTTACAGGCAGATTCTGAGAGCTCAGTATGCTGAGTGCATGCTGGGAGCTGAGCTCTTTGGAAAACCTGGCCATTTTTTTTGGGCACTGAACTCTTCTAACCATCTGGCTCTGATCGTAGATGACAAATGCTTTTGAAAATCTGGCTTTTGTGCTCAATAGGTGCTACTTCGCTATAGGTAATTGTGTAGAGTCCTGTTAGCACTGTTAAGCCACCGTCTTACTTGGGCTGTTAGTAGTTAATTTTCTCACTTAATGTAAGCTTAGCACAACCGATTGTAGCATTTTGTTAGTGCTGAGAAGTGCTTGTCAGATTGGTGTTATGCAGTTCACTGCAGCTACTCTGGCTCCTTAGCATGGGATCACCCTTGTCCACATGTTTGTTGACCCCCTCAAAAATTCTAATAGATTGGTGAGGCATGATTTTCCTTTACAACAGCTATGCTGATTCTTCCCCAGTGTACTGTGTTCATCTGTGTCTCTGATAATTCTGTTCTGTACTATCATTTCAACCAATTTGCCTGGTACTGAAGTCAGACTTACCAGCGGCCTGTAATTGCCAGGATCGCCTCTGGATCCTTTTTAAAAAAATTGGTATTACATTAGCTATCTTCCAGTCATCTAGTACAGAAGCTAATTTAAGCAATAGGCTACATTCCAAAATTAGTGGTTATGCAATGTCATACGCGAGTTCCTTCAGAACTCTTGGGTGAATACCTTCTGGTCCTGCTGAATTATTATGTTTAATTTATCAATTTGTTCCAGAACTTCCTCTACTGACACCTGAAACTAAAGTCCTATGAAAACATTCCAGGCCGTTCATTTACCCCCTTCCTGCCAAACCAATTTTGTGGGCTTCGTCCTGATTTCTGCTTGAGACAGGAGAGCCAGCCAACGGCCTCATTATCTCTATTTACTGAATAAGTGATGTGTGGATTATCCCTCCCATGGCAGAACATTAAACAGCAGCTAATTGGTTTATACCTGGGATTATTCTGCCAATCATTAGCTTTTCTTTTTAGAATTCCCTTCCCACTCCCTCTCCCTCTTTCAGACAGTCCTGTTCATTATCAAAACTCTGCACCTCCACTCTTAAGACTCAGTGTAATTCTCAGTAACAAGATGAATATATTTCTGCTTGTGGTGACATAGTGGATGTAACAAACAGTACTCTTTCACCCAAAGCTCAAAATCAAAACCCGGGATAGGTAAGCCCTCACATAGCTGGAACCTGGTTATACTCTGTGCACTGGGGCTGCAAGGAGGAGGATTTCCCAGAACTGAAGCTGATAAGTGAGAGCAGCCTGAGCTGAGGGAAACCTATCAGAAGGAATACAACCGGCACTCCTGGGGGGAAGCCCGTGAGTGCTAAGTAAAAGCACCACAAGGTTTATTACACTTCCACTGAAAATAGCGGAAAACCCGGGCTTTGCTAAAGTTGCTTTGTGCTGCCTCACCTCTGAAAATCAGGGCATTTATTCAGGTATCTAAATAGGGATGTGGGTGATGAAACGCTAAGCACCCAAATTGATTGTGATGCTTCAAAACCACATGCAGCAACCTGCTCCTTACTGAGCCCAGTTGGCACATTGACTCCCCAACTCCTAATTTGTGAAGGAATGTATCCCTGTCCTCTTACTCACTCATGTCATGGCTATTTGAAATGCAAATAGATGTCTGCTAGTGAACACATCTCTGCAAGGTCACCAAGCTTTAAGATACAAAATACAATTAAGAGGACACACTGGCCCCAGTGTACCACATAAAGCTAATGCTGTATCCCTAGAAGTCCACTACAATGACAAGAGATGAACTCTCCCTCCCAAGTACTGGAAAACGGTCTTGCGGATTAGCATGAGAGATCAGAGCTATTTAGCACTGACACGTACTATTAAGCCCCATTGGAGTTCTTGCTGCAGCGCTGGGCTGGAGGGGGGCTGCCAGGATCTCAGGTTTGACCGCAACACCAGCCATGCTGCTTTCGGTTCTATCTGTCCCACACAAGCCTGGCAACTGGGCTGCTTTCTCCAGCGAAGGCAGCAGCTGATCGAGCTGGTCAAGGTCAGCAGCAAACTAAGGAAGGAAACAAGGTCACAGGTCAGTCACTGAGCCCCTTTGGGCAGCAAAATCTCTTTACACACAGAAAAAATTCAGAAACAGTTCCCCCCGCTCCCCTTGCCCCCCAAAAATTAACTGGCTCATTCAAATTACATGCAAAGAAGGCAATCAGGACTCATTCTGTCCCTGGCAGGTCAAGCATTTTGCAATGTAGTTTTCTTCTGGCTACCCGCCCCAGATGGTGGTGTAAAGGCCTCTGTTGGAATTACTTCTGTGTACCCTCAATCACAGATCAGCAGCACAGAAACAGGGTCTGATTTTCCACTCACTATGTTACTTCCTGGCTTACAGCTGCATATCTCCACGGATTTCAGTGGAATTACCCATGTGAAGCTGGAACACAGGGGAAAATCAGGCCCCTAGCCTCTAGAATGAGCCGAGAGCATTACACAGAAGATGCAAAATCAACATCTTGGATATGAGATGCCACCATTTCATGTCCATTAGGTACCTAGAGCCCACCTAGCGGGGGTAGTTTGCTCTGCCAAAACATGTAGAGACAGATGGCCTTGTGGTTATGGCACTGGACTGGGACTCAGGAAAGCTGGGTTCAATTCTTGACTGCCACCAGCTTCCTGTGTGACCTTATGCAAGCCTCTCTATGTGCCTCGGTTCCCTGTCTGTAAAATGGGGATAATATTTCCTTTCCCCACCCTTTGTCTGTCTTGCCTAGTTAGATTGCAAACTCTATAGGGCAGTGACTGTCTCTCACTACATCTGTACAGTACTGAGCACAATGACACTCTGATCTCAATGGAGGCTTCTAGGCACAACAATAAAACAAATATTATTAATGGCTTACGTGGGCATTGACTTGAATGGGCCCTGGACACCTATAGCCATTTGGCAGGAGGTAATTTGCTCTATTAATACATATACATTTACACTGATGTAAAAAATGGCCTCTCCTGAAAAGTATAAGATACTTTGTAGAACAGCCCTCTAAACCTCTACTTATACATTTGCCTAGGGCAAGTAATTATTCTCGATGGTCTAGTAATATATCATTTAGCTTTTCCAATCTTCTTCATAGCAAAGAATAGGAGAGTAGATGTTTGGCCTGGGGACCCAAATAAATGGGGAAATTACTGAGGAAGGGATTCACACCAGGCGATATAATGGAGATCCTGGTAAGCAACAGTTTGGGATTAAAGGGACTAAGCTAAATTAGGTTTTGGTTAAAAAAAAAAATGATCCCAAGGGAAGACAATTTTTAAAAAATCTCAATCTAAGTACACGTTGAAACACGCTTCCACAAGAGCCAGTGGTCGGCGGGCAAAGAGCATGCCTGTTGAGCGATGTGTGTATTTACAGGCAATTCCTTTCCAGATTATTAGGCTGACATACCTTTGCATTTGACTGACAGATGCAGAGAATTAAGTTTAGGTCACAGTGAGGTTTAGCAGAAAGTTGGCTAATTAGCTGGGACACAAGGCTGGAGCTGACAGGCCCATGGCCTATGATAAATATAACCAGATTTACCAATAGCCTGGGGTATATAAACAGCTGTGCGTTTCACAGAGGAGTCAATACGTCAGCAATGCTATGGAGAAATTAGCTGTGAGATCAAACTGCAGCTCCAGCCAGGGGAAGGTTCCTTTGCCTGGAGGGCTGCTCACTTTGGGGCAGCTCAGGGCTTGCCTTATTCTTGTGCTGCTCTGCAAAAATGGATTCAAGCTTCTTAAAGAGCTGCCTTCTTGGTCAGCCTGGCTCTGGCAATAGCAAACTTTGACAAGTGTCTACAATGGGCTGACAGAATGCTTGAAAGGAAACAGCCTCTGCAACTAGCCTCTTAGGGTATGTCTACACTGCAATGAGACACCCAGGAATGGCCCACGCCTACTGACTCTGGCTCGCGGGGCTAAGGGGCTGTCTAATTGTGGTGTAGACGTTCGGGCTTGGGCTGGGACCCGGGCTCTAGAACTTCACAAGGTGGGAGGGTCCCAGAGCTTAGGCTCCACCACGAGCCCCAACATCTACATCGCAATCAAGCAGTCCCTTAGCCCAAGCCCTGTGAGGCCAAGTCACCTGGCATGGGCCAGCCACGGCTGACTCATTGCAGTGTAGACATACCTGTATGGAATTAATGCCAGGGAAGCCCTCCAGCAAGCAGCAGGGATGGAGGGAAATGGCTTCCTAGCCAGAAGAAAAGTTCAGATCCCTCTTGGAAATGTGGGTCAGATAGTTCATTCTCTCTTTTTATGGATATACAGAAGTTACACATGTCAAGTCTTCCTCCTCCCACATTATGCAAACCACCTCTTAGAGCCCATAAGGCACTGGGAATGCTGGGCAGCCTCCCAGGGGGTAAGCGGCCTGTTCAAGTGACTGCTAAATTTGTCCCAGTTCAGATGCAGAAAGCCACAGCCAGCGAGTGAGGGGAGCAAAGGCACTCGGCTGCCACCGTCAAGTGAGCAGCCTAGACCCCAGAAAAAATTTAGAACATAGCAACTGCCAGATGAAATCAGACCAATAGCCTATCTAGTCCAGTATCCTGTCTCCATGAGTGGCCAGCAGGAGCCGCTTCAGAGGAAGGTTGACTCTTTGCTTCCTCCAACAGGAATTTATGGGTAAGTTTCTTTTTAATCCCCATTTGGTTAAAAATATATTAATCCAGTAACGGAAAAAGGATGGGCACATCCTCCCTACAAGGTGCAAATCTTGGCGCGGTGCGAGGATAAAAAGCTTGGCTCTTTCATACTACCAATGCCCCATACAATGGCAGGCTTGCCCACTGTAGACAGGCCCTTTGTGTGGAGGGACCAATGCTGATAAAGTGCCATTGCATCTCCTTAGCATGAGTTCAAGGTTATCATTCTCCAAGGATCCAACTTAAAGACTTATCTCCATATTTATTCAAGTACAGCAAGAAAAGCTACAAAAGACAGCACTGTCTACTAGATTCTCTCTCTTTCTCGCTCACTCTTTACTGACAAGATTTCATCAATTTATCACATCCCACAACAAAGGCATAAGGCCTGCAATGTACTTTCAGATGGGAAAGCGCTGTATAAAACAATCAAGTCATGACTGTATCATAAGAAAAGGAGACACTAGTGGACCATCTAAGGCAGAAGAAGGTGGTTATGTTGTTATAACCAACAGCTGAACTGTTTAACAATCTTTGCCACAATACTCACCAGTAGTGCTGTGTTATATACATTGTTGAGACATTGTGAACGCGCTCCGGAGGCTGTGCCATAGGACTTTGGGAGAGACCGTTCTCTTCCTAGATATTCAAGAGCGTCTCACATTTGAACCAGGATAACAATGCCACATTAAACAAAAGGATGGATGGTGTTGTGGTTAAGGCACTTGATGGGACCCAAGAAATCTGGTGCAATTCCCAGCTTTGCCACAGCTTTGCCTGTATGACCTTTCAGCAAGTCACTCATTCTAGGGTCACATAAGTATTTAGATAGTTAGGGATTTTTAATGTACACAATTTCTGTGATAGGGCAAGTACTTACTTTCCTCGCAGAATTGTGAGGATTAAACAATGTTTATGTAATGCTTTAAGGACAATAAACATGATGATTTATAATGGAATATCCACCCATTAATTTCATAGTGTATGCTATCCATCAAACTTTAAGCCCAGAGTCTTTAGGAAAAGAACATCCTTATAAACATAATCACTCCCACTTACAGAAACAATAAAATACAGGAATTGCAGCCTCAGCACTGCCTCTGCAAGAAGAATACAATTCTAATTCTTCGAAGAAATAGAGCTTCTTGAAACAACAGATTTTCATTAGAGCACAAGATTGCTAGATGCCTTGCAACAAAGGGAATACATGTAGTAAGCTATTTATTACTACACGCAAATATAAGACACTCGCTATCTGTAGTGTGGGGACACTTTTTAACAGGACTGAAAGAAGCTCTGTTACATGTGTGTGTGTGTGTGAAAACTTAGTCATCGTGAAAGTTTATGACCCATGGCAAAGAGAAAGGAAAATGAAACCCATGAGTCTAGTTACATTGCCCAGGAGGCATGGAAAGAGACTGGGGAGTGGAGAAGGGAGAGATGGGTGTGAAGGGGTAGTAAACACAGTGTTCACATTTTACTTTATGAACTAAACAACTCGGGCCATATCAATCACTCAGAGATGCCCTTGCAGTTCCCAATGATTTCAATAAAAGATCCAGCCTCCATCTGAATAATTTGTGGTCTGAAAAACATGTCATACAATGAGAGACTAAAAAAGCTCAGTTTATTTAGTTTACTGAAGAGAAGGTTAAAAGATGACTTGATCTTGGTCTGTAAGTGCCTATACCTGGGTATGAGAAGATATCTGATACTGGAGAACTATTTAATCTAGTGGTCAAAGGCAGAATATGATGCAATGGCTGGAAATTGAATTCAACAAAGGTTCATCTGGAAATAAAAAGCAAATTTTTTACCAGTGAAGACAATTAACTCCTGGAACAGATTACCAAGGGAAGGGTTATTTAAAAGATAAAGTGATGGAGAATTCAAGGCTGAACGTCCATCTAAAACAGAGGTGGGCAAACTATGGTCCACAGGCCACATCCAGCCCGCGGGACTGTCCAGCCTGGCCCTTGAGCTCCCCGCCAGGGAGGTTAGCCCCCGGCCCCTCCCCCGTTGTCCTCCCTCCCCCGCAGGCAGCACTCTGGGTGCTGGGCAGCGCACTCCTGCAGGGCAGCACAGCAGTGGCTCTGGCTGGGTGGTGTGGCTGCCAGACATGCTGCTCTGAGCAGCATGGTAAGGGGGCCGGGAGGTCCCGGGGGGCAGTCAGGGAGCAGGGGGCGGTTGGATAGGTGTGCGAATCCCGGGGGGCCTATCGGGGCGGTTGGATGAGGCGAAGGTTCTGGGGGGGTGGTCGGGGAATGGAGAACAGGGGGTTGGAAAGGTGTGGGAGTTCCAGGGGGGGCCTGTCAGGGGGTGGGGATGTGGATAGGGGTCAGGGCAGTCAGGGGACAGGGAGTGG